GGCTCAGGTGTAATGCTGAAGAAAGACCAGTCCAGCCTTCCCAGGACCAATTGTCCAACACTCCTGTTACGAGCCTCGTCCTGCTGGAGTCTCCTTTGCTGCTGTAAGTGCTTTTGGTTTGCTGCAGATCCAGCATCTCTCACTGGTGCATCTCAGGCTGCTGACCCCAATGTCCTTGTTCAGATACGCGCAGCCCCCATCTCCTCCGATCACAAACCTGCAGGGCAGAAACCAGGCAGTGGGGGAGGTCCAGGTTGGAGATTAGGAAAAACTATTTCCCTAGGCGGGTGGGGAAGCGCTGGGATGGGTTCCCTAGGGAGGGGGTGGAATCTCCATCCCTAGAGGTGTTTAAGTCCCAGCTTGACAGAGCCCTGGCTGGGCTGATTGAGTTGGGCTGGTCCTGCCTTGGGCAGGGGGCTGGACTCGATGACTCCGGAGGTCTCTGCCAGCCCTGGGCGTCTCTGATTCTGTGAATGGCGGGTTCAGCGGGGTCCTTGACACAAGAGATGTGCTAGAAACCCTGCACAGAGCCGCTTGGTGAACCTGGCCCAGCCCTGCTAAAACAGCCTGTCTGCCCGAAGCAGGGCACGAAGGGGCAGCTGTCCCCCTTCCCGGTCCCCTGTGCTGGAGGCGTGTGGCAGTGGGCCCAGCAAGCAGCGTCCCCCAGTGCGCTGGGGTCCTGGTCTGTAGCTCTGCCGGGCTGCAGAAGGCTGCCAGGGCCCGTGTATGGGCAGACAGATGCTGGCACGATGCCCTTCAGACATGCTGGGCAGCTGGCTCACGCCGTCCTAGGTGGAGGCCGGTGTCTCCTGTGAGAGGCCCTGGAAATACATCTCCAGGCCATGCCCCAGACTGGTGCATGGGGGAGCCAGCCACCCGGCAAGCCTGGGGGCAGGAGGCGCAGGGCCGGCTCTCTGGGGCGCACAGCAGCAGAGGTGGCTCAGACAACGGCAAGAACCCTGAGGGCTCTGGAGAGGGAGAAGCCATGTGGGCATCTGTGCCTATTGGAGTCCAGGGTATGGAGCGAGACCTACCTCACGGAGGGGCCCTTAAGAGGTCAGAGTCCAGTCCCCTGGCCTCCAGCAGGACCCAGCACCATCCCTGACAGATTTGCCCCGATCCCTAAATGACCCCCTCAAGGATTGAACTCACAACCCTGGGGCTAGCATGCTCAACCCACTGAGCTATCCCCCCAGGTCGGTGTCCATGGCCAGAGGACACAAGGGCAGCACTGGGCGGCCCGGCCCGGCGACGGAGCGGCCAGCTGTGCCAGGCAGAGTCGGCTGTGACTGGTGACGCTGGTTTGTGTTGCTGGATTTCTTAGAGGGGTTTGTGTTGTCAGCCATTCCTCAAGCAGTCCCTGGGCCCGTGTTTGTGAATCTGCAGGGCGAGGTGACAGCTCTGTGGAGACTCAGAGGTAGAGGTGCTGGGGGTCCCTCTGCCAGGTGCACGCAGGCTGGGGGAGGCCAGAGGGAGGGAGCTGCGCTGGGAGCAAGCCGCCGGCGTCAGGCTCGGCCCCAAAGCTGCACAGCACAGCAGCACTGGGGGTTACAAAGTGGAAGGCCTGGGGCCCCCAAGCACCACAGCCGCATACGGCCCTGGCTGGGGGGACACGGGCGGGAGAATCGCTCGCATGGCCTACGCTTGCGGGTTGGCCCTTTCCAACAGCGCGGGCTCTGCTCTCGGGGGTAGGGTGGGGCAGGCCGGCCCTCCAGCCATGGTGCCGGCTCCGGCAGCGTGCCGACCAGCAGGGCAGTGGAGTTTTGGGCGAGTGAGCAATGCACGACTGGGCCCGGGGAGAGGAACCTGCTTTCGTGCTGAGCCTGCCCCAGCAGCGCTAACGGACACGGGTTGGCCCTTTCCAACAGCGCGGGCTCTGCTCTCGGGGGTAGGGTGGGGCAGGCCGGCCCTCCAGCCATGGTGCCGGCTCCGGCAGCGTGCCGACCAGCAGGGCAGTGGAGTTTTGGGCGAGTGAGCAATGCACGACTGGGCCCGGGGAGAGGAACCTGCTTTCGTGCTGAGCCTGCCCCAGCAGCGCTAACGGACACATACCTGCGGAGCCTTTTCAGTGCCGCGTGGAAAGGACGAAAGCGAGTTATTGGCTGAGCATCGCTCTCCAGCGCCATGGGCATTCAAGAACGTGCACCACAATGGTTACGTCGCCCAGCACTGCGCAATGCATGCGCACACACACGGCTGCTATGCGGAGCAGTAGGTAGCGCAACCGACGCACACGACAGGCGTTTCAGCGCTCCTGGGACTGGGCAGCGTTTGGGGAATGACACTCACCCATGGACACGTGCAGACGGGCTACTGCCAGGCAGGTTAGCCCCTGTTTAGGTTTTTATTCAAAAGAAGGCAAAAAACCCAACACAAAAGGTTTGACAAGCCCCCGCGCTGTCCCACCGGCAGAACTGTTGGCACCGCGCCGCGGTTTAATTCAGTGACAATTGGTTTTATTTTCTTTGGACTGAAACATTCCTCGCGGTATTTACCCCCAACCATTGGAGCCAGGGCTCACAACGGACTAGAAACATGTGTCCCGCAAGGTCCAGGCGGAGCAGAGCGGCAGGTGACACACAACTGGTGTCTGCGGTGAAAGGGCTTTCCAAACACGTTCAGCTTTAACCCCTGCCCGGCCAGAGGCGCTGTGTGCAAAAAAGGATGCGATTGACACCTGCTAGTAACCCTTTACGTGCTCAGTGCCATTTCTAGCTCCCAGAGCCAGCCTGCAGCCCTGACCTGGAGAGCCCGTCTGCCGGCCTGTGCCGGGGACAAATGCAGGGACTAGAGCGGAGGGAATCCCTTTGCACAGCGGGGAACCAGGCGACTGATTTGTGAGCAGTGTTCCCTGTAAGCTGAGCACTCAGGCGGCCGCCCAGGAGAGATTCAGGTGCCGCCCACCTGATTAGCAGAGCTCTGACAGCTGGCAGCCTGTGTGTCTATCGGTGGTGCACACCCGCACAGGCGTTGGTGCACATACCAAAATGCATTCCGCACATGGATGGCAAAGGAGGGACTGTTATTTGCGAGCGTTCCTCTAGCTGTGGGACTGTCCAGCATCATGGTGTGGTGAGTGGCTCCGGGCAGCGCGTGCGTTTTGCGGAAGAGGTTTTTGCGCCCAAAGAAGCAGTGTTGCCAGGCCCCCTTTTGCACAAGAGCTGCAAACCGCCTTTCTTGCGGCACCAGGACCTTGCGCAAAAGGGTTTTTTTGCACAAAACAGCCCCCTTGACACGGCTTGTTTTGGGGCAAAACCCTCTTCTGCAAAACGCATCGGCAGAGATATGCAAATGACAGCGCGCCAAATGCTAATGAGCACTTCATTTGCATCGTCTCTGCTGCCAAAAGGCCCTCGTGTGGGTCACTGGCCCATGCGGGGCACCCAGACCACAGCAGCAGATAAGAACAAGAGACGCTACGGCAGCGGCTGGGAGCCGGCTGGTTTTCTAGCCCACACTGGGGAGGCACCGCTGCTAAGGTCCCAGGTTCAAATCTGCGTCTGCGTGGTGGCAGTTACAGATACAAGCGGTGTGAGGTGGAGCAAGTCAGAGCCTGTTAACTGGGTGCAGCTAAGGGCTTCCAGTCCAGGACCCTGGCACGCGGGGTCACAGCTCAGCCCCCTGCTGGGGTTCGGCTGTGACCTCCTGCAGCCAGAACAAACAACAGTCTCTGGAGACAGCAACTTCTCAGGGACAGTGTGCGGCGGGGGGGCTGATCGAATGTTTTCCGAGAGATGGGATGGAGCCCCAGGGTTCACCGCCTTGCATAGGACCCCACTGGGGCTCCGACCATGGAGCTTGCTCCCTCCCCACTGGCCACTT